TGTCAAAAAACTCTTCCTTCAAATCATCCTTCATTGGCTACTTCATATAACAACATCGGTTTGGTGTATAACAACATGGGAGAGTACTCTATAGCACTTTTATCTTACGAAAAAGCACTTGAAATTTATCAAAAAACTCTTCCTTCAAGTCATCCTGATTTGGCTACTTCATACAATAACATTGGTAGTGTGTATAACGCCATGGGACAGTATTCAAAAGCACTTTCATTTTGTGAAAAAGCACTTGAAATCTGTCAAAAAACTCTTCCTTCAAATCATCCTTCAGTGGCTACTTCATACAACAACATTGGTGGTGTGTATGACAACATAGGAGAGTACTCTAAAGCACTTGCATCTTACGAAAAAGCACTTGAAATTCAAGAAAAAACTCTTCCTTCAAATCATCCTGATTTGGCTACTTCATACAACAACATCGGTAGTGTGTATCACAGTATGGAAGAGTACTCGAAAGCGCTTTCATTTTACGAAAAAGCACTTGAAATTGAAGAAAAAACTCTTCCTTCAAGTCATCCTGATTTGGCTACTTCATACAACAACATCGGTTTGGTATATAAAAATATGAAAGACTATTCGAAAGCACTATCATATTATGAAAGTGCTCTGGACATATTACAACGTGCATTACCTCCAACTCATCCTAATATAAAAACTGTGAAGAACAATATTGAAATTCTAAAAAAGAACTTCTAAAAAATATTTTGTTTACTTATAGTTGAATTAATTCTACTTTGTACTAACTCATGCATGTATCAGAGAATAAATCTATAAATAACTAAAATGTAACGAACAAAGCTGACTGATAACGTGATGCGTATACATACATATGTGTATGAATGGCCTTGTCAGACATGTTTACGTTTCTAATTATTCATGCGTGTATTTCCTGTTATAAATAAAGTAGAGAAAAATATTACTTTGAATAGTAGTTGTGGAGTAAAACAATATAAAGAAGGAAACAATAGTAACTTACGTGCAATTGAATTGTTTTGTTATAGCGTTGAATGAAATCTTGTATGATGAATAAAAAGTAAATGACATACGATACATATGTCGATACCATCAACACATAGTCTAATTGATTTCATCTCGCGGGTGGATGTAGGTATAAGGGTGAGTATTATTTTTACTTTCCTCACACCCTTAAGTCAAATATTCGTTAATAACAAACGAAATTGTTTACTTTGATAAAAATTAGATCACGAAGATTATTCACTGAAAATCTATTAATTATGATAGGATTTTAATATGTATGTGTTCATTGAATTATCGTTAAGAGTTTGTCTTAAAATACTAAAGAATTTGCATGTTGAGTTGATTAATACAAACTTGGAATAAATCGTTTTATCACGTGCTATAAATAATAGGAATACTTGGAAGTTTACGAAACAAATTAAAATACTAGTAATTGTGTATGAATAAGGCTCAGCATAAAATTCGTATCAGTAATAATAAAGGTAAGAAAAAAAAGAACAACAAACCAATTGATTTATCATTCAATGGAAATGATTCAATTAGAAAAACCAATGTTATTAGAAAATGGTATTCAGCATTCTATTTTAATAAAAAAATATTCTCCTCATAATTATATAAGTTTAGATTTATTAAATAATTCTTTATTTCCAATGAATCGGTATAAATTAATACAAACATTTGTTACTAATTTAAATAATCCTAGTATTAAATTTTAACGAATTTTTTCTAAAAATAGAACAATCAATAGAAAATAATTTACATCATACAACATTTGCTGAAACATACTATAAATTGTTTCATGTTCATCCGATACAGTGCAATAAGTAGTCCGGCACTCTGATGTATATTTTCAAAATTGAGTTTTACTTTGATCTGACTTCCTATTTTCTTTTATTAGTACATCGTACATACCAGTACTTACAAATAGGTTGTGGCTGTAGATGCGAGTATAAGTATATCATATGCATCTTATCCTCATTCACGCCCACACCCTCAAGATGTTAATATAATTCAGATATGTGCAAAACTATACGATCGTCTGATGTTAAT